TCACTCGACTGACCTACCCGGGAGCTCCTCAATCATTTGTCACAGCAGAGGATTGTCGCCGCGTTTGACAACTGATCTAATCAGAAGGCAGCCTACTGGAGCCACCAACCGCCTGGCGGGGGCGGAAAGCTGCCGCAACAGCGGCGAATCTGATACAGTAATCCTTTCACCCAGCGTTGAACCTGCAGAGCGACTGCAGCGAACGGTCGCAGCAGCCGTCCAGTGACGACTCGACGGTAATAGCCGACGTCATTGCGACACCTGTAGACGGCCGCAGCAACAGAGGCCACGGAAGTCTTAGCGAAGACCGACGACAACCGTGTGTGTTATCGAGCGGTAAGCCGAACACGGACCGCAGACAGCACCCCCTCCCCTCCCCCCCCCCTCCCAGCAGCCGCGACGGGCCTGTGCCGTGGGACCCGTCCCAGCGGGCCTCCCCCTAACCGACCGCCAACCGGGGTATCTGCCAATTAAATCAGCCCTTGTACCAGATACTGCGGCACGCACGCCACCGCCCTATCTGCGTATCGCATCGGCGCCTCGCTTGAGTGGAAATCGTGATGATACATGGGTGGTTGCCGATGCCGTGACATGTTCCTGGTCCGAGGTAATTGGCCGCCTGACGCACGGCCAAAGTTCTGGCCAATAACAGAGTCATTCGGCAGGCGCGAAACGGGGCCGCTTAGCCACGTATGACTGCCATTCTCGCCATTTCAGATGTCTCGGCGTCCGGGTGGCCACAGCCGAGTTATCACGCACGCGCGTTATCGTATGCGGCTCTCCCAAGGCGATGGTTCCCCCGATGCAAATACCACCGACGGCGCTGGCCACCAGCTGGCTAATTACGCGGCCCAATCAGCTGCATAATTGAGTGGGCCGACGCAGCCGATGCCGTGAACGCGGCCCGGACGTTGCAGGGGCGAGGGAGGTGCCCCGTCTCACGCACGCGGACGATTGGGCTGCTGGGGCTGCTGCTGGGGCAGCGGCGCCAGCCCAGCGGCTCCTGAGCAGTCGACGGACTCGTGCGCGCACCAGTTGGGCTCTCTCGTGGATCGCTGGTATGGTGGACGCATGTGATCGAGTCATGTAAATGACGGCGGGAAGGGTGCAGAAGAACGCCAGACCCCGCGAAGAATAGTTTGTGTTCTCGTTCTCGAGCGAAGGGCCGCGTTTATCTGGTTTTGATATATTGCAGTCAGTTGCCAGGCTGTCGTCGCGTCATCAACTTTGGGCACTGGATGCCCTTCTGGAACCGGTTAGCGGTCCACTGTCACATGATTACAGCGTTTCTGAGGTAAAATCCGGTCAAGCTGAGTGCTGACAGCGTCGAAAGAGCGGACATTTCCTATGTTTGTACCCGCGAGGCTTGGTAAATATTTAGACCTACCAAGGGAAAGAATGGTGGCATACCTCTGGAAACATTTGTTTACATACCCTCGCACAAAGCATTTACCAGCGGGCATGTTTACAGTGCCGTTAACCAAACACAGCTCCAGATCACGTGTCCGCGTGAACGGAATGTCAGCAGAGTGGCGAGGTTTGAGCTTCGGCCAGCGACCCTGTGATGCAGCCCTAATACCCTGCAAGATCGCGTGAACCGTGCATTGTTTGCATTGATCCGGCCCCAACCGCCGCCGGCTTCCGAGCTCCCCCACCTACCCCACTTCCTCCCCAAGCCTTCCGCTGCCACCAGCGCCCAGACAGCGGCCTTTACTTCACGGCCCGTGCCAAGGCGCTGAGGCCGACCAATTAGCGCGCATTGGTGTCTTCTCGTTTGCAGACGCTCTCCAAAGCACACACGTAGCCACGGGCGCCGCCTAAAATACACGCCGACGAGTGGCGCGCGGTCAGGTCCGGTGGAGCGCGCGGTGCGGTATGCTTTGAGCGCACGTGCATCATCGGGCAGCCCACTCCCGGCTGACAGCCACCACGGAGCCCGGATTGCCGGCACTGGCAGCCGCACTGACAGCCGAAAGCTCTGTCGGTGCGCGGCGGGGCCGGCGGCTTCTGCGCACGCCTGTTCTCCCCGAATGGAAAGCTGTTTAACTGCCGGGTGCGGCGATTACATCTGATTGAAGCTTTACAGTCGGCGAGCTGGGGGTCAAAGAGCGCAGAAGATTGGCGCCTGCAGCCGCCACAAAGCTTCACCCGACACGTCGGCACAAAGCGAGCGGGGTTGATAGGCCACCAGCAGCAGACTTCCTTCCGCTGCATTCAACCGACCGAGCGCAGCGCAGCATCATCCTCATGGTATATCGCCGTTGGGACAGGGCGCACTTTGCCTCAGGCGCATCCGGTTTATCTGAGTGCAAGCGATTGTCTTGTCTGCCAGACAGAAGATCTTATTCTCAGCAGGTCTCCCGTCGAGTCGCAAACAGGAGCTGGAGCATTCACGGTGCTTGGCCGCCGGGGCAGGTCGGTATTACGAAATGACATGATGACATAGTCACGCCTCCATGAATTACACAGGAATGCAAATTACCACACGCACCGACACACTTCGAGAGACCTAGCATGTGGTCCGTCACAGTCGTCTCCAGACAGATCACTTTTAATTACACGCGTCTGCAGCGCCAGCCTCCAAGCCGCCGCGTCCAATTCGGCCCGGTAATAAAGCGCTCTCGCCGCGCCGCCGTCCCACGGGAGGCCCGATAATGACGTCAGAGGTCAGCCGCTTCCGGACGGCGGCCGGCGGGGCGGCGGCCGGTTCCCAGGGTCGCGACCGCCGTCGCCCGGGCCGGAGCCGGACCGGCGGCGGGGACAGGTCAGCCGCTAAATGGACAGCGGGGCGTTCATCAGTGTCGCCGCCGCCATGTAAATGCCCGACCGGCTAATGTCGCCGTAATCGCGGCAGGTAATCACCGACGGAAGCGACCGGCCGCGCAGAACTGGCGCACGGGGAATACTAATGGTGGCGCGGCGGCGGCCGCGAGATGACAGGCGGCCGACACTGAGGTCAGGGCGCCGGCCGGACCGCGGGGCAGGTGTCACAGGGCAGGGCCTCGCGAGGCGGCGGTGTCGCGAGGACCGGAGCACGACTCTGGGAGCTGGGCTTCGTGAGCGAGGCTACCTGAGACTGGTGCTGTGGGAGACTAGGGAGGTCTCGAGAAACCTGGTGGGCCTGCCGGGAAACTCGTGACGGAGACGTAGCGATGACATGTTGCAGCAGCAGGAGCAGAGCTGGGGGAGACTGGTGTGGCTGTGGCAGGAGAAGAGCTCGGAAGACTGATGTGGCTGAGGCAGGAGAAGAGCTGGAGAGATTGATGTGGCAGTGGCAGGAGAAGAGCTGGGGAGATTGATGTGGCTGTGACAGGAGAAGAGCTCGGAAGACTGATGTGGCTGTGGCAGGGGAAGAGCTGAGGAGACTGATTTGGCAGTGGCGGGAGAAGAGCTTGGAAGACTGATGTGGCTGAGGCAGGAGATGAGCTGGAGAGACTGATGTGGCAGTGGCAGGAGAAGAGCTGGGGGATTGATGTGGCTGAGGCCGGAGAAGAGATGGGGAGATTGATGTGGCTGTGGCAGGAGAAGAGCTGGAGAGACAGATGTGGCAGTGACAGGAGAAGAGCTGGGGAGATGATGTGGCTGTGGCAGGAGAAGAACTCGGGAGACTGATGTGGCTGTGGCAGGAGAAGAGCTGGAGAGACTGATGTGGCTCTGGAAGGGGTAGAATTGGGGAAACTGATGTGGCTGTGGCAGGAGTAGAATTGGGGGAGACTGGTGTGGATGTGGCTGGAGTAGAACTGGGGAGACTGGTGTGGCTGTGGCAGGAGTAGAGCTGGGGGAGACTGGTGCGGATGTGGCAGGAGTAAAGCTGGGGAAGACTGATGTGGCTGTGGCGGGAGGAGAGCTCGGAAGACTGATGTGGCTGAGGCAGGAGAAGAGCTGGAGAGACTGATGTGGCAGTAGCAGGAGAAGAGCTGGGGAGATTGATATGGCTGTGACAGGAGAAGAGCTTGGGGAGACTGGTGTGGATGTGTCAAGAGAAGAGCTGGGGAGACTGGTGTGGATGCGGGCAGGAGTAGAGCTGGGGGAGACTGGTGTGGATGTGGGCAGGAGTGGAGCTGGGGGAGACCGGTGTGGATGTGGCTGGAATAGAACTGGGGGAGACTGGTGTGGCTGTGGCAAGAGGAGAGCTGTGGGGACTGGTGTGGATGTGGCAGGAGTAGAGCTGGGGAGACTAGTATGGATGTGGCAGGAGAAGAGCTGGTGAGACTGGTATACCTGTGACGGGAGCAGGGTTGCGGAGATATCAGTGGTCCGGATAAAGCGCAGTGAAGCGTCTGAATAATGGCCCAAGACGATCAAATACGCTGACATGTGTCTGCATTTTCAAAGATGAACTTAGCCAAAAAGTAGTTCTCAAGTCCACAGTATACCATATTCGAATCTGATTTGGGTCAACCTCTGCGCGGCTGTGAGAGTCCCGAAGTCGATACACTGGTGACGAGCCCCTGCACCGGCTCGCCGGATTACACTCCCCGCACATCGCGGTGCAGCTGCCGGCGCCGTCCACTGGCGGGACCACTGGGCTCAGCACGCCACTGGCCTCCCGAGAATGCGTCCCGAGGTTCGACAGCGCCGCCGCCACAACATCGAGCCCTACGGCGCGGATTGCCGAGGCGGGCGGACGGGGTCCGGCCCGGGTCCGCCCATGTGAGCCCGCGCCGAGGTGGGGCGGTCGTGGCTCTGCTGCTCCGGTTATGATGAATACGGGCGCCCTGCCGCCCGATCGATAGAGCCGCTTCAGCCGGGCGATTGATCGGCCGCTGGATCTGAAAGGCGCGGACCGCGGGCCCGGAGTTGGACAGCGCCGTTTCACGGCGAGCCGCACTCGTCGGATCGATCCAGAGCCGCCGCCGCCGCCGCCGGCGCGCTGCAATGTACGGACGCAGTGGCAGACGGTCGATGGCCGTGGCGCCAGCCTGCTAGCAGTGGGCGTCCGCCGAGCGGCCGGCGGCGCGCGCGGCCAGCCGGCTGCGGTCGCCGCCATCGCGTCTCACCTGGTAACGGCAGCCTCCGGACGGCGGCCGGCCACACATCGGCCGGCCGGGCGGCGCTCTCTCGCTCCCTCCGCTGACGTCACCGGCCCGCCGCGGCGCGTCCGGGGCGGACTGCCGACACCGCTCACCGCCGATCGCGTCGCACCACCCGCGCCGCGCCGCCGGACACACCACAGGCCAATGTCAACACCACCGAGAATAGCGCCGCAGCCGCACCACCTCTCCGCGCGCCGACGCTCCGGTTCTGAGGCGGCCGGCGGCGGCGTCGCACGAGCGCAGCGCCCCTGGCGGCCGGGCCGCGCAACAGGCCGTGCCCCGCGGCGCCGCACGCCGGTCCGGCGGTCGGTGGCCTTGGACCAGGAGAGGAGCGATCGGAGACACCGGCCGGACGGACTGGACGGTGGAGGGCCGCCGGCGCAGCCGCGCAGAATCGATCCCCAACGACGCCGAAACGCGCGCGAGTAAATTAAACTCGCCTCAATAAGTGTCGGGGGAGTAGATTTAGGGAGCGGAATCACCGGCTGGGTGTAATTGAGTCGGAGTCCGGGAAGGTAAACATTGATTCCCGGCGACGGCATTTGATATTGGGCCCGGCTGCGGGGATGGACCTGCGTTCGACAAATGTGAGCTTCTGAGCGCCATTCTGCTGGATGACGTCACAGTACAAGTCGTAATTTCATTGGACGTGATCGTCGGACACCAGTCGGGCCGAGAGCTGCCAAATGTGACAAGATGGAAGCCATGCGCCTGTCGTGCATGGACGCCACCCGCTCCGGACCTGCTATCATTTCTGAGTCGGCGGGTGGTTGAAGGTTATCAGAGCGATCGTCAGCTTCCAGGAGTCAAGACAGCTCCGCCATTTTTTTTTTCTTTTTGGCTTCTCTGGCAAATTCGTGGTCCTGCCATGCCGAACCGACTCTGCGACACCCGCGGCGGTTTCCGTCACAAGCGTCGTCACGCGGCCCGTACTATAACCCAGCTGCCCTGGAGTCCACGCGCTGGAGACCGCCTCAAGAGCAGGGCTGGCCCGCCCTGATTACGTCACAGACCGAGCGGGTCGCGCCGACGGCCCGACGCCGCCGTCACTGGCACCTGCGAGGCTAATCGGTCCACTTTCACTGCCCCAGAGGAAATCTGCGCACGGTACTGGAGTCGGAAGTGACACCGGTACCGCGACCCTGGGGACGACTCGTCGCCCTGTCGGACCGGCCGCCCCGTCACCGGCAGCCATTGACAGGCCCGCTAAGTCCGGGAGACCGATGAACTAAGCACACGCCACCTGGATCTCCCGATAGCCGTTACAAACCACAGGTGCGCCATGGGCGAGACGGCAGTGCATCAGTCCGCAATGTAAAAAGCGGCTGCCATGTTACGAAAAGGCCGCAGTATTTTCCTGCTATTCACACACAACTTGTTCGTCATGCGATGGTACCAGTGGCAAAGCAATGTGTACTTACATAATGATGGTCCCCAAAGACGTCCAAGGAAAATACCGATGCATCGAATCGTGCAGGATGATTGGTGTCTGTGTCATGGACCGAATGCAGACGGTGTAATGGCGTAGTGGTACCGAGGCTTCGATCTCACAAAATGTATGTACATCTCGAATCGAATGCTGTCTTTTAGCCGTCCATGACACAGACATCGGTTGTACATGCCATCGGTTTAATCGCTCGTGCAGGAACCTCTGTGCCTCTCCTCTCACATCATAAACAACGGCGAGCTCTGTGCACCTCAAATCGTGAAGATGCATTGATCATTACGTTCATCCTGCCTTGTCGCTTTTTCAAGCTGTGATTGCATCTTGCACACCTGCAAGCAATGTTCATGCCTTTGAGCCCATGCCTGGGATCTTTATTGCGTGCATCAACAATCGGCACGACCCAGAGTCACACCCACAGGAACTCGTGCAACACATGTTCTCGAGGTGTCTGTGTGACCACCGGAATATGAGTGGTTGTGGCGCCGCCTGGGCTGCCTCCCGCTCCTCGCCGAGACATTCCGCGCCAGCTATCACGTTTCAGATGACAACGCCGATGTTTGACGAGACTCATTCATTAGGCAGGCCCGGTGCGGCTGATTGGCCGGCGTGCCCCCGCCCGGGTCGGCCGCCTCGCCCGGAGGGTGGTCCTCCGTCACCGTCACCGGGGAACTCGCGGACGGCGGCGAAGGGCCGCCTGATGCAGTCCGCAGTCGGAAGCGTTTCCTGCCAAGTGGAACGGAGGTCGCACCGGGCAGCCGTCTGATTTCATGCTAGTTTTAATCACAGGAAGATATACGATATGCCGAAGGGCAAGAGCTTGCAAGGTCTAAACATTTCATAAGCCACAAATGCCTCTCTTTGTGCGGGTAAAAGATGACGTGTGCTGATGATAAGTGTGCTGATGCATATCTCCCTTTCTGTGTTTTGTCGCGTAACCCACGTGCATACACCTCCAATTACTTCCCGGTCAGCCCCCCTCTCTCTCTGGCAAAAATTAACCGTCACCATGGCATGGCAAACAGAAAAACGGGACAACGGGGAGTTTGCCGCCGTCCTAGGGCATTCACCCGCTACTGTCCATGGCCCCTAAAGCACTGCACCCGGATAGTGTCAGCCATCACCCGCAGCACCACTAACACCTAACGGAGCAAGCTTTCGACTCTTCGGATCATACAGACATCAGCCGCGTTGTCAGGTGAAATACGGGATGCACATTCCTATCGATCAGCCAGTGCATACGTCCAAGCCTCCCAGTGTATCTCCTCATGAATTAAGCAGCCAAGCCAAACATGCTTTATATAAATGCTATCGGGGCGAAGCGCGGAATGCCAAGTGTTTGACAGCTTGCCAGCTTGCAAAGCGGTGGAACAGCATTGACCCCGGACTAGAAGCCAGTAGTTGGCTGATTACCTGTCAGCAGAGGCTCTGGCACTACCTGTGTGGCAAACAGCGTCGAACGCTTATTGGCTTCTTGTCGCGTTTGGTGCTCTCATTCAAAAGCCTCATTATGTCGGAGGAATACAATAAAATTATAATAAACACTCAACTGAAATGAATATTTAGCATCATATGCATGTTTAAGCACACCATTTTTCTACTTGCTCTATGAACGTAATTTGCAGTTAGTACCAGATATAACATCGCTGGAATTAATATGTTGTTTATGGATTCACCTGCATCAAAAGTTACCTTAATCAATGCGAAGCATACACATAATAAAGATGTCATAGATCTTTATTTCGTAAGCAATGTATCCGCTGAAAATATAGCCACCATACCATAAAAGATAAGTGAGCGGAGAACAGTCTCTCAGATTTTGTCTTTCTGTGTACACAAACCGATTACGTCATCAAGCTTAAGAGCTCGAACGGTGCTTTGCGATTCAACTGTAAACAGAATGAGCCCGACGCCCAAGGTGATTTGGGGCCGAAGCTCAGCACTGAACAGCCTCTCCAGCTAATGATGATCGCATAACGCACGAATCATTAGCATGGACAATCAGTCCCTAATGATCGCTGACATGGGTTCGGAAACCGCGCGCGACTCAAGACGACGGGTCATCGCCCGTGACCCAAGTTCCGGGTCGGGAAATATCAAAGCGGTTTGATTTAGCTGTCGTCTTGAGTTCCTGAGCTTGCTGACTTCGACTGACATGTGTGATTAAAGCGCTGTTGAATAAATGAAGGTCTCGTAATGACCAGCTGGGAAGCATCTGGCGGCTAATTACGTCAGTCACACCGACACGTGATGGCCAACTGAGCCGCTTCACCGCAGCAGCCGGACCGTGAAAGAGGCACAAATAAAAAGCTGACTTGTCAACGGCTCGAACTGTACAAGATGCCCGACTAAAAAGCTGAACAGTTCGGGAACAGGTTTGATAAGTTAATCACACGTTGGTGATAGATGCTATCGGTGAAGACGGCTTGGCCAGTGTAAAATACTTGCCCAATTATATCCTTCTTTTTCTGCTTTTGTTTTTGTTATCCATTCTCATGTGACGTAAGTGCTTCCGGGAGAATGCTTCTTCGGCAATCAATTACTTGTGACACGTCAAATGCTTCAATGCACGATGAGGCTCTCGTCATTAGGCGAGTTATTTGGTAAGATAGAATTAACCTGTATAACAATGCCCACGTGAACTGCCCGCAGTAAGAACACGCGGACGGGCACCGCTCGTGAGTACTTTGCCCTCAAGCGCCGGCACTGTCCCCTGCATTAGAGCTGACGATCGATGCTGCGGTGTCGGGGGAGGGGGGGGGGCGGGGGAGGGGTTCGGGTGACTCAGCCCAGGTATCGACCGATGCCGGGCCTACCTGCTCTCAGGGGTAGCGGCCCGCCAGCGGGCTCGGCCGCCCCCCCCCCCCCCTCCCCCCACAGCCCGGGAACTATGTAGCACCCGATGGCAACAGGAAGACTGCCAGCATGCTCGTACTTATTCGCGCAACTTTACAATCTGTCGACAGCACTACGTTTCGAATCAGCAATGCTTAACTGACCTTATAGTTTTCCGGTGGACAAAACACGAGTGCCTATAGGTAATGATGTCCATCGCAATATTCGGGCCGTGGGGACAAATATGCGTATCCTGTGCTGTCAGACAAGACAAATTGGCTCACGTTTGAGGCTTCTGCGACCGATATATATATACACACACACACATATATATATATACATATATATATATATATATATATATATATATATATATATACATAATATCGTATGTGCGTGTTTGTGCGGACATCGACCGAACAGTTGGTTGTGTTGCGAATTAGCGAATTAGGGTACATGTTCCTTATGCTACAGCACACTGTTATTTGGCTATGGGACGACCGCCTCCGGGGTGTTCGGCTGACACGTCAAACATTTGTGACTGCACTTCCGCAGGATCGTCTCTCGGCTCGCGACGTTGGTGAGGAACGTTGAATATCAACCAAGATGATACAGCCAGGCGCTGCTATTCATCCGAGCTGCAAGCTGGAGACGGCCACGTGACGTCACGGTACGCACCGAAATGATGGTGCACTGCATCAGCACTGCGCATAAAACTTGGGCACTGT